GAAATTCTAGAGTAGCTGCAGAATTGGCGGCTCCTCAAGAAGGGCTCAGCTCCATGAGTAAGTAAGTAAGTAAAGTAAGTCGCCTCTAAATACTAGAACATTACTGCATCTTGAAAGGAAGTAAGGAAGAGAGCGGGAAGCATTGAAATATAGAACTTGCAGTGGTGCCAAATTTATCATTGTGGGACGTTGGTTTTCAGGGAAATGATTTGTTAAAACTATCTGCAAAGAGCAAAATTCATCTCTGCCACAAATTCTAGTGAGAAACACTATAATCTATTCAGTCGTGCCCATGATGCCAAAGAATTCTCGGTTCTACCTGTCGCTGTGTTCAAAAATGGTTTATAAAAATTCATTACGCCAGCAACAAATCAAAATATCATATCCTGAATTTGGATCGACCCTGTCGGAGTTTATACGAGCACAGTTCGATACGTCTCTCCAAACTGGCAGGTAAATTTTAATTCTGTGCATAGAGTCGCTTGTTTACGTATCAACATAACTGTGTTTACATTGTGAGGTTAAGTCATACTCTATGTGTCTTTCCATTCTCGTCTCAGTCTTCTATTTCACCAACTTTAGCATTATCAGAACTTGACCACAAAACTATTAAAAAATGGGGAAGACCTTCTAGAAACTTGGTAAACTGTAAACAAAAGGAAAATGCTTATAAGAGACAACATAGAATAAGAAATTATGCCCCTTTCTTCTTCTACCTTGACGGATTATGGTCTCTGGCCTGTTCCCATGCAGAATTATGAATCAGAGAGTCGGTAGGACTCCTTGGACGGAAGATTCGAAATTATTTGTTTCATATTATCCACATTATCTTAACAATACTGCCCCTGAAAATTAAACCATTATCAGTTCACGTCCACATCGGCCTATGAGGCCTGCACAATAGCACAAGCATTCCAACCGGCCGCCTGGGGCGCGACGCCCAGAAGTGGAAAAATGTATAAATATTTTTGTTTATTTCTGATGAATTAAAATTATTTTGTCAGTCTTCTCTTCAAATTGTGACCATTACATATTTGGGGTATAGAGGTTATTATATTTACCACTCCCTGTAACATTAAAATAAACTCTTCATTTTGCTCAAATAAATAAAAAAAGAAGGTAAAGCTATCCCTTTAACAGGCCGTGGGGCCCCATAGGTTTCTGAGATGTCGAGGCTTCCACATTTTCTAAATAATCGCTCACAAATGGCGGTCAGCCTCACGTACCGCCCACCCTTTACCGCCAGGAAGATTCCTGGTGTCCATTTCTAGGCTGAGTCGACCCCAGGGCCGTAGTGGGGCTGAAAGAATTAGGTCACCTGAGAAATCCAATGACCTCATCACGGGTGCTGCATGATTCTCTGAATAAATAGCGATCATTTTGCTAAAAGTATTACGTAGCTGCTCCCTTTAGGCAGCATCCACACGAGCACACAAAACGCGTCCGTTGTAACGAACGTCGTGACGTCCGTTGTAGAAATAAACATGAGAAGCGAATGCTACGCTTTCTTCTGGATCCATTGCAGACAAAAAAGAACTACGCACCGCATTCAGCAACTGTGTGGTGTCCTCAGCAACGCCCGTTATGAAGTATGTTCGTTACAACGGACGCATTTTGTTCGCTCGTGTAGACGCTGCCTTGTATAAATATATGAGGGGTAGGCCTCCCCGGCCCTTGCACCGCGACCTACAGTGGTCTGTTGTGCTTTTGACGCTGCCTTAATGGAGACAATGTTTTCTGCTAGGTAAGAACTGAATTTTTAAACATTTTGACTAATTTCATGTCCCAAACGTCAATTTGGCAGGAATATAAAGGTGTTGTGCAACAATGTAAAAAATTGTATGAAGAACGGGATCCATTACAATCTGGAAATTTCGTGTGAACCGGGAAATAATTCTTTCTAAAAATGGGGCGGGTCGAAATTTCTCGACCACTGGGGGATTTATTCTTACGCCGATCGTGCTCTGACATTAATTAAGAAAGAAACACAATAAGTCTGGAGACAATTTAGTAGAGTAGAAAACGAACATGAAAACTGTTGTTAGCATCAAGCGAAAAGACAAGTCCGCCAACAAGGCATTTCAATGTTCGCTTTTCAGAAGATTGTCGCCTGCACCAGCTGTACCGCCTCATTAAATTGCCCAATCAAATCAGCCCGCACCGAGTACCACATATGGCAACAATCGCAGGATTCAGTGACAAGCAAAATAGACATAATACTCGGCAGGCCCATTTAATATCGCAGGTTCAAAGACTTGCAATTTTGTAAGATAAGGAATTAAACATATACAGGTAGAGTATGTTGTTCTGGGATATGTCGCATGCAATTTGGTAGAGAGGTACCAGCGTTTTGAACGAACCTGATGTCTCCATCTATAGAGCAGAATGGTGGCTCATCTAGCATTCTCAATCCACCAACGTTAGCAAGTTTACTCAGCAACAATTTGTCTTACCTATATTTCAAAATTTTTCAACCTTGCCAAATTCTGGGATACTAATTTGAAAAAGGTCACTACCGCTTCCCTCTGTTCACCAGTTTGTCAGGCATTTGTTACTTCATGCACTAACCCATGAACCATCCTCCAAGCATCACAGATCAATCAACTTGCAAGGCTCTGGCTATGAATTCCCACATGTAGTACTCATTTTCATTAAGTGAACATAATTACAAGCAAAACTCCCACAGTTCATAGAATGTCACGGTGTAATGATTATTACTCCTGCTCTGTATATATTCATTTTTTCTTATTGATCGCCTAAAACAAGCACAACCATTTCCTTTCGCATGTTTCTCAATTCATCATTCACATAATATGTCACCTGACACTACATGAATTGGGGAAACAAAACAATTCCTTTACCTTTTGAAATAATCGGTGCCAAGACACTGCACATACTTTTGTCCTTGCCTTCTTCACTTTGTGAACGTAATTTATTGTTTCTCAGAGGACCACTGCTGGTTGTTAAATGCAGAACAAAACCTTCTGACAGGTTTCGAAAAAACAGATACTTTGCGTTTGAGCCCCCAAGAGTTTACCACTACTACGCTGAAAATACCACATATGCAGCTCTATTTAGGTAGACAGTGTCCAAAAAATTGCTGAAATTTAATCGAAACCATAAGAGCAGTTTTCGAAAAAAAAATACATTTTTTGTTTTGGGCCCCATGTGGAGGGACCCTATTTTTGGAGCTAGAATGTTCTCATTCACCTGGCAACGACCTAGAAAGGTTGAGTTAATACTGAATACAAATAAAATATGTCTAACCGTTCAGGTGATTGCAAGAGACACATCAATGCAAACATAAACACTAATGACATACCAAAAACCATTTACTCTTAATTGGGCGGGGGCGGGGGGGTTGCTCAAAATGTATAAATCCATTAAAATTCTGAGAGTGGGATGACATTCCACCATATATATGTGTGCCTAAAATACTGTCTCAGATTATCGTAAGTTGAAAGAGCCCTTAGAAATAATTCTTGAATGTACACTCAACATCTCAGTACAACAGTGTAATTTTCCTACATGTTACTTTCGTGAAGATTTAATACCTGGGTCAATTCACCTCATAACACAGCGCCAAACATTCGCCATTTCAAGAATCTATGGCGAGGGAAGTGAAGTCCAGCCATCTGACCACCAACATGTCAAATATTAATATAAAAATTAAAATTATTTAAAAAAAAAATCTTCTAAAATTAATACTCTAGGACGTTCAATAAAAATATTCTTAAATTGCTTAAAATAGTTTGTAAACACACTTTCTGGCTGCACCCACTTGAAAAAAGTCCTGACAAGGTCCAGGTGTTGTACTCTTCACAATAGAATGTTTACATCATGTTTATTAGTACATGATTCATAACACCTGACATAATTTAAAAAACAGTCCATAGTTTTTCAATGTATCCAACTCAGATCGTAATTAACTGCTGCCTCTATTCACTCCACTAGTAGAAGCCTCTTTGCAGGTGGTGGACAAGCCTAATATAAAGTGCTACAAATAAACTCAACATGTTTTGTATCAGTGAAACCAGTTTATCATCCAGGTTACCAGAAATTAATTGTCCAGCAACAATCTAGTATTGTTTTCTTCTAAAGCTCCTCAGTTATTAAACTAACAGAAACAGACTGCTGTCATGAAACACTTCCAAACATGCACTTCATTTCAGTCATGTATCTCTGTTATGTAGTTTGAACGTGGAAATCTAATGACACTTTCTCTACTCTGAGCTACCAATTTCTTACATCATTCAAAAATTACCAATATTCTCCAGAATATGACACTCCAACAAGGCCAACCCTAAGATCCTACACACATTCCAAAATTTTCCAATCTAATCTAATCTCCTTTCTTTTCCAACATGACTGTAACTTTCATAGGACTCAGATGTTTTTAAATTTCTATGATGGTAAGAATTCCACTGTTCTCTTTGAAGATGAAATTATGCTAAATCCTTTCACAATATTTATATCTGTACACAGCCAAATTATAATTATGCTGCAAGAAATTATGGTAACACTGTATGGCAACAGAGCACTGTAAGTTCTACTTGCATATAGTGCCAATTCTGCAAGTAGGTGGATCTGCCAACATCAGTCTCTCTGTCATTAGCCGTCATCATTTTCATGAAAAATGCTTGTTTACAATTTCCCTGACATCTGCATTTTATATTGTTTCAGTATTGAATGTTATTATGATGTACGAGTATTCAACGACTCCCTTATTTTCTTCTTTTGCAAAAGTAAAAATGCTTGTAGCTCAAATGATTCACAAATATCAATGACAGTAGCTGAATAAAGGATTAGTACACCACTAGTACGTTAGAACTAGACAACAGGTTTCAGAAAATTTCCAAGAAACTTAAGTTTCTGAAACGTTAGAAGATATGCAAGGTTTCATGAAATTAAAGAAAAGAAGACAGAGAAATAAGAGGACAGCACATGGCAATAGTGAAGTCATAAAATTCAGTCTTCCATAAAGAAGAGGTAGACCACAGTTTCCAAACCATCATCTCTTTTATTTTTTTCACAAATCTCTACCATCATCATTTTGTGATTATTTCTGTTAAACATCTGACTCTGATTTTCTTTCTTCTCAACAGTGTATTTATAAACCATCATCTTTCATCTCTTTTATATTGTATTACACCTGTATGTTTTTTACTTATGCCAACCTTTTATGTTAAGTTTTTACATCATAACTATTACAGTAGATTTGTAGAGCTTTGTTAAACACTTTGCTTTCGTTTTCTGTGTTGCAAGCAACGAGTATATGCAATATTATATCTAAACAAACTGTACAATATTTCTTTAAGTGTGAAAATTAACCATTACTTTACAATACAACAAACAATGAATTTTCAACATTTTCATATATATATATATATATATTAGTACAATATTATATTCTCTGTAGCAATAATGCGAACAACCTTTTTTTATTTATATAAAAACCTTTCATCTTCCATATTCTAAAATAACATTCTTTTAATGTATTTCTGTTAGATCAACAACAATTAATAGATTATACCAATACCACTTTAACATACCCATTTTATCACTGTTTAAGGTCTACCCTTTTATAAAATTTTGCACATCTGTGGAAAATACACTTGGAGGATACTAAGACTGAAGATTATTGAAAACATACATTGGATCTATGTATATAAAACAGACTTCATGATCTTGGTTATATTATTTCATATTCCTCAAATTAAATATAACTCAGTTAATACAGAAACAAATTTTGGGGCTAAAATACATTTTTAGTTTGACAAATGTCTTCAAGTTATCATTTAACCCATTTTCAAAGCATTAACTTATAATCCATTTATATGTTTAAATTATTTAATTTTAAATGTATCAAAACTACCAAAATTTTGTTGTGGTAAAAACTGATAATGTCATTATAGATCAGAATTTATGACAGTAATTAATATGTACTTTCTGTAGTAGTTAAATATATAAAAACAAATCTAATGCACAAAAAATGTATGTCTATCCTTATCAAGCCATCTGAGTTGGTACAGTCCACTAATTCATGAAATATATATATGGTCCACCAACGTATGAATTTATCATCAGAAAGCATGCAGATTTCTAACTAAATTTATAACCCAGTTTTTTATATCACTTCTCTTAATTCTGACTTAAAGTATGCCAATTTTTACTTCTGCAAGTTACAGATTCAGTCAAATAAATTAAAATGTGCAGTATTTGCAGACACCTATTATTAGAATATTTGATCAGCATTTTCACACAAATTTGCAAAGTTAGGTTAAAACCTTAAATCTACCAGTTGGTTTATTTTTTGGGACATGTTTAAGGGATTTCCAAATATATATAAGGCCTTCTATTGCCTTACTTGTTTGATTTATTTTTCCAAAATCTGTAATTTAATATGATATTTATGCCACATTTCATAATACTAACCATACAGAGCTGCAAGTTATTCATATGAGGTTGTCTGGCAGTCTGAAAGATTCACTTGTATAGTATGACAATTTTTATCTACAGATGATTCTAGTTCAGTGGGGGTATCCACTTCCTTTCCAAACATGTCTAATCTGTGTCATTACAAGATCTGGCTTTTCTTAAGTACTATGATTAAATGTAGTGTTATGTTTCTCATAATGTTACTGTACATATATTTAATGCTGTATACTGAAGTTCAGTGTTTCATTTCATTTCATTTATTCAGCATTCCATAAATCCTTACATGGTTTAACACCAATGGATATAGAAATAGTCAACATGAGTAAATCACATACTGCAACACAGCTGTGTAATGTCATACCAGTTAAATTTAATAATATACAACATGAAACAAAAACCATTATCTATAACAATAAGGCGCTATCACCTACCACCTGTAACAAATCCGAAACTTTAATTGTTGTCACAGTTAAAATATTCATCCAATGAATAAAATGACTTTAAAAATAGGAATTTTTTAACAGCAGACCGAAATTTTTTAATCTCATGAGCTTGTTCTTTTATATTAGGTGGAAGTTTATTAAAAATTTTAATTCCAAAATAATATGTTCCCTTTTGAAAGACAGTTAAGTTACATGAGGGATAATGGAGGTTATTACTATGTCTTGTGTTGATTATATGAATCTCAGAATTAGATAAAAATAGATCTTTGTTTTTGACCACAAATAACAAAAGCTATTTACTTATAAGACTTAATTATGTTCAAGATACTGAATAATTTAGCAGCAATGGCTATGTAAACGAGTCACTAAAACAATTTTTAAGCAGCTGAAGTTTTTGAACAGTTTGAGGGTAGAAATTATATGGAATTGTTGATTAACTTCAAAATAAGCTAATGGCATTGAAACACAAGTACAAATAAGTAGGACTGTTATGAAAACTACATATTCTAATTTGAACACCATAAAATTCATTTATCCAGATTTTTAAATAATTGAATGTATATGTTTAAGGTAATTTTTATTTCGAGCTACCAATATTAACCAAAATAATTCGGTATGCCCTTTATACATAGTCATTATAGCAAATTAACATGCTTACTACATGTATGATCATATACTGCAATTATGTTATTTCTGCACATAAGAGATTTGTGCCCTCAGACATTAAATGAACACAATTCAACACACTCTGACTGACAAGAGAGTGGTAAGTACCAAATTCAGAATTCAGTGGTTGCCTTACCTATGAGTGAAACTTTAGAGGAAGCATAACATTTCAAACATCATACAAAGCCTTTACATAAGTTCAGTTCAAGAACTTAATGATGATATTTGCAATTTCAAGAAATATATACATGTTAGTGTACTCTGATATTGATTAATTTACAGTAAAATCAGTTAATATAATGCCAAAAAATGATTCAAATTAGTTTTTAGTCATGCATTTTATGAATCCCTTCATACCAGTCAGCCTCAGATGAGTACCTGCCAGAGATTACATGCACACCACAGCTACTGCCACAAGCAAACATTTCTATTCATCAAAAGTACAACACAGTTCAGTAAGAGTGCACAATCAGCAATTCAAATCTAAAAACACCTTCATTCACAAGAAAATCTCTGGAAAAGTAAACCATTTATAAAACTACATTCTTATAATTTGTGAACTTAATATGTTGATATCGTCCTGAATGTTACACATAAGAAGAGTGTTCATGTGAATCAAAATCATATGTACAAGTAAATAAAAATAAACATGCTGAAACAAATTCAATTCTGTGATAATATTATAATTTATATTAAAACATGTGACATACTGAGTATGGACAGAAGGCGTGGATATCTGTCCTTGTACCATGACCATTACTGCTCTACTGAGAGTCCTCATCAGTCATCCCATCTGCAAATATGTGTCTTGAATACACTATATTAGTTTGGTGATTGGAACCTTTAGATGTCACTAGCGGCCAACAAATTAACTCCAAAGCTATAGGACTATTTAACAAAGTTTGCTTTTATACAAAAACAATTGAGATTAAAAAAAAACAGTTCCTTCCTTCTTAAATTAACAACATAAGCACTTAATGAAAGCTATTATGCAGTCTTATTTTCTAACACAAATAATGTTTAGTGTTTATTCTTCAAATCAAATTTTGTTACAGCTCTGGTACATACATGTTTCCTTCCATAAAAGGAGGAGACTGAAACTTCAGCCATATAGCCAGAATCGCTGAGGCCATATTGTCCAAATGAAGAATAGGACAAAGCCAAAGATTTTTGCCCACACTGTATGAAAGAACAAATTTTAGACCGGAATTAAACCCACACTATCTCTGTTTTATTTGTGCTCCAAATTAATAACTTCAAACTTTTATAATTATCTAAAGGTTTGTGAACGATTTGTTACTTAAATATTATGCTCGACATTCTTTATTGCCTTGGTATATTTTATACATACACATTCTGGACAATGGATCTGTTTCCATCCAATGATGGAAACAGATCCAGTTTCCAAAACACTGTGTACATGAATTATACCAAGACATTGGACAATGTGCACCACAATATTCACAAAACTTCAAAACCTTTCTTCCATTATCAAATTTGTACATTTCCTTATTGCTAAATAAACTCATCAGTTGTGGAGTTCATTAAAATGTTGTTCTGAGAATTACAAGTACAAAGCTATGAGCTTAAATATTCAATATTAGTAATACCACAGTCCATAGTTCCTATTGCTTTTACTGGAAAACCACATCAGGTGCAGGGTACTGAATGTTAGACATGGTGGAAGTCTATTAAAATGAGAGTTATAGAGGACATCAAACGCATCTGTGGTGTATGACTTTCACATTATAATAGAATATGCTCTTTCAAAGATTTCTCAAATATAAGGTGTAAAATATCTGCTTATTTCGCCACATCACCGTGTTTCTTTTCAAGTTTATAATTGCAGAAAAATAGGGAGAATGGCTTCATTTATATTATCAGACTGCATGGAAAGCAAAATTGTAAAGATTTGTGAAAACAATCAAAGAATTAATATCATTCCTGCTGTAGTCAAACTAAAACTTGTTCTTATTTTAATTTTGTTTTCAGAAATCTTCAGCATACCAATTTCAATCAACCAGTGTCTTTTTAGACATAACAAACAATAGCATAGCAGTGTTAAGAATAAAAACCTGTGTTAGTTAAGTGCCCATTTAAATTTGTATTTAGAAAATCACTACTAGTGATATGAAAATTACATACAAAAAGATCGTCAGTCATTTCCTAACACTATGGTATCATATCCATCTTTATTTTTACAGTTTTTCTCTTTGTTATCCATGTAACTAATACTTGTAGTAATGTAATGTAAAGGAACCATTATCTGAATATTTTAAAATAGTGAATCTAGGTATGGTTAATAAGAAACTGTTTCCTACGATGGCATAAATTTGAAAGTTTGCAACACACCATGCTACAGTCCCTACTATATACAGCTATTTATATATTTTTCACATGGAAACCTAGAAACAATAGAAAATTTCCAAATTACCTAATTTTCATTCTGAATAATACGACTTTCTGGAAGGATACATATAATATGGTCCATAATTAATGTGGTATCAGAATTAAATACAAGGGCTATTACTGAATTCTTTTTTTTTTCATATTTACACCACTAAAGTTACTCAATGATGAATTTAATTAATAATTATTTGTGCAGTAATAACTTTATAAGAGTACACTGTAGTTGTATTTTATTTAAATTTGAATTATGAAAATTTGAAATAATGTGATTCACCAAAAATTTGGCAACCACCCTACATTACTTTTATTCCTACAAGAAAACTTTCCTTCAATTATGCGAAGTCTTCAGGAAAACAACTCTACATAAAATATGACTCCACTGTATAGTTAATTCCAATCATAATTTATTAAACATTTTCACCATCAACGTAGTAAACTACTACAACCCACGCTCATAATCGAAATAGTTCCCACCACTGAACTAATACCTAGTTCTTAATACAGTTCACGTCCTCATAACCCCTTGTATTTTAACGTTATATTAATATTCCCATGTCAGTCTTCCTAGTAAACACTATTAAAAGGATCTGCTTACTAAGACTATATGTATATCATCATCTCATGTTTAACAATTTAGATAATATATTCACCTGAGCACAGCACCTTTCATTGCATGCTTACTATATAAATTAAATCTACAAGGGCATTAAGAAGAATGACACCCATTTCTGAAGGATTACATTTCATGAAATAACTGATATATAAATGTGATTCTTTATTTATAATGAAAGAAAAAATCTCCTACTTTCATTTCCTTAATTTCATACTTGTTTATCTAGTGTCTCCAGACATCTTGACTAACATTCCTTGCCTCAAGGACACATTAAGAATACTGTTTGTTTGGCCAACATTTGTATTTAAAGCACTCACAAAAACGAATCCCTGCAGCCATTCCAACTATCACCCCAGATATAGTAAACTAAGTATGGTAAAATACTGAATATCAATTTGATGTTTTCAAAGCAGTGAATGACACTGAGTCTATTATGAATTATTTGTAAAATTTAAGAGCTCTTACATTAAACAAAAGAATTACTTTTGCAAGTCAACTACTTCAGGAAATATACCTCCTGAAAATACATTCTTTTTTTAACACCTATTACATTTCAGCTATTTGCTGACATAAAATTTCAACTAGGTTCTTCTGTTCAGAATATCTTTAACTAATATTTTATGTGGTTCCCATAATGTCTGGAGAGCAGAGAGTAGTCATTAATATCTCAATTTCAAATTTCGTTCTGCATATCAATGGATCAGTGTGCAAAGTCACTTTGCACGGTGCATTGATTTCCTCTTTCTTAAGCTTAATGAAAGATAAGAAAACTGAAGTTCCAACTCTTCTTTATTTTGAAGCGCCCTCAGTCAAAAAAGGCTTTCTATCTGAGATTACCACATGTGGAAGTTATGCTTAATGGTAAAATTTTCTGTTATTACATAAAGGATTTGCATTATTGATAGATTTCCATTCTCTTAACACCAGTAATCAGACAGAGTCTAAATTAAGGCTGTGCTCCAAATTAATGAAATAAAATGATCAAAGCCCTTATCATTCAAGTTATTTTCAATTTTTCACATCCATAATAGCTGTCTGAACTACTGGAAACCCAAGTATCTTATGCTCTTGCTCTCAACATGTATTTTGAGACCATCAGGTTGTATTCATAATTATGCAAATAATACTTTTGGTATCTTACATGCTGCCAAACGTTCAAAATTTTAATTTATGTATTAAAATGTTAATATGCTTTTCTTGTATTTTAGGAACATACAATAAGTCAAAGTACAATGTTTGACACACAGATCAAAACATTTAGTGATATACCGAACAACCTCAATAAATCATGTTTTCAATATGAAGACATATTTGTTATCCATTAGTGATTTTGTGAGAACTCAACGTATGTTCTTTTTTTTTGCCTTTCACAATAGAATGTTTAGTATTTCTATTCAGTTGCTAATTCTGTTGTTTTGTTGCTCTAGATACAAAATAAATACTTTCTGTTTAGCAGCTGCATGTGAATATTTAAACTAGAAAGTTCAGTCTGAACACATTAACATATTTTGTACAACTGAACAAAACTAATTTTATCTGTCCAATATCTTGGAGACATTCCATATAAGAGTTTACCACACATTTATCAGTTAATATGAAATTTCTTATTTCTGATTAATTTCGTAATAAAGTTAGCATTAAACATTGTTACAAGTATAGGAGATAGAACTAGCTATTAAAGTTGTATTGCAAAGTAGTATGAACAATACTTTAATTCTGGGATGGGTATTTAACTTATTTAATTCTGGATAAAATTAAATTTGTAACTGAATTTTTAATATAAACTTTACTAGAAATTTAGATGTATAACTAATCTTTTGTTGAGAACATAAATTAGTACTTTACAAATTATATCTACCATAATTAGAAGTAAAAATCAAAGACTCTCCAGTCACACACAATAAAAACAGCTCCTACAATGATCAATTATGGAAATGTCAAAGGCTCTGAATATCCAATGCCTGTTGTATGTCTTTTGTATAATTTCTATTCTTTCATGCATCCCTCTATTTATATTTTAAATGTGAAACATCCCAATACTTTCAGGGATAAAAGTCAGAATTTTGAACTACAAAAAATAATGTTGTCATCAGTTAGCTAACAAGTTTTAGTTACATCACACAGATTATGTAATCAGAAAAAAAAATAAACCACAATTAATGCCCATTTAATGTAAAATATTATATTAAAATAAAGTCTATTGTTTGAATTACACAGTTGCTTCATTAAGCACTATATTCTGTCTTAGAAATAGAATAATACAAGAATATCATGATAACAAAGAAATTAAATGAAATGATTACTTCATACTACTAACCGAAACACCAATTACATTGTATAATTCTGATTTACGTTTACAGTGATCTGACACATCAAACTTTGTCTTGAACACAAAGAAATAAAATCACAGCAAACTCCCTTTTAAGGACTGGAGGCTGCAACACAGCTCTTGTAGTTCATTTGAAGTACATACAGTCTCTTCAAATGACACTAAATTCACTTTTAACTCTGTATCTCCCTTTATATATTAAAGGATAACAAGGGATTGTAAGTCAGTGAAGTACCGATTCATTCTGCACAGAGTACAGAAAATTAAAAAACGTCCTTGTCTGTTAGGACCATCACAAAACTGGATTCAATACAGCAAAAGTTCCATTTAAGATTTCTTTGAAAAGCAGTGGATTTGAAAAATAAATTGAGAAAAATCTCAAATGATTGAAATTTGGCAATAAATTTGTTGACTTGATGTGAGTGAATATGAATGACTATTTACTAAACAATTTTGCAAATGTGTTTTACTTCACAGTACAACATTCAGGTCTCCATTCTTCATAAAAGTCAAAAGACAACAGGAATAAATATGAGTTGCTATGTCATGTATCAAAATAACAGAAGGTATTCATATATAATTCATAATAACAATCATGTCCTTGTGAGAACTGAGGTTCTGACAGTGATGGCTATGAAGGTTACTGTCTTCTGGAATATAATTGTGTAGTCTAATAGAATTGACTGATATTTTGGAGGAGCACACGGCTTCCAACTTCGGATTTGTAGAGTAAACCTAGCAATCAAGTAAACAAGCATTGAAGAGAAAGCAGAGTTACTCAGTTTTAACAGAAAATTTTAATAAATCTTATTCGATTTAAATTAAGTGTGTGATATTTTAGCGAATACCAATTGACTACAAGTATGACGTTTTAAATCATGAAGTGTGCAGTCACATATGTGAAGAATAGACAATATTAGTGCAGCGTAGCAGTTTTAGCATAGTAAGACGTCTGAAGATAGCTATTAACAGCTGAAACATGTTGTGTCAAAAGTGAAAGTGTAAGAAAGTAGGAATAATTTGTTGCATTATTGATGGACTGTGTAGTACAATAAACAGTATTAGATATAGTAATGCAATAGGATGCTTAAATACAGGATTGTCTGGCTTACTCTTTAGTTCTGCAAATAGAGGTGATATTTTCTACCAAAAATCACTAAACTTGTGCCAGTCTACACTATGTCACATCACAGAAGACAGCACTCTTCATGGTTACTGAGGTGAGAACATCAAATGTTAATGTGATGAAGTCTGAAAACGCGAAGAAAGAAAAAATTAACTTCCTACTTACTTTTATAAATAAGATATGAAAGTGAAGTGACGTTATTTTTTCTCTTTATTACTAGCTAAATTTGGAAAACCATCAAAGTGTAGTTAATAAAGATCAAAATAAAAATAAAACATGTTTTATGCTTACACAAAATAAAATTACATAGCTAGGCAGTTATGCATTGAAACATATGGTTATCCTGGAAACCCAGCCAACTTATTCTCATGATGACATGGAAACTGTTAAAAATTGAATATACAAGAACTAAGGTTTAGAAAAAATGGTAATAAAATGTCAACCATAGAAACTGTTACATGAGAAACTCTGTAGTGAGGAAAAGCTGAACACAGATGTAATAAGCATTCATGAATGTAGACAGTTTAAAAACAAATATTTTTTCCTTTAATAATTTAAATTTTCAAACCAAGTACATATTTATATTATGTTATAAGATAAAATGAAGCCAAAATTCTTAGAAATTATACTTTCATTCTCATTTTGTTTAAGCAAATGGTATTATCACAAGTGGCTTATAATTAATAACAGCAATAAATTAAAATGTAACAAGTAGAATTGTTTACTTGTGGCAATCATACCATCTAAGTTATTTATCCCTGTAGTGGTAGAGTCATCTTATGACTCATTCAGCTTCCTAAGTCCCAATTGCACTGTGCACTTCTAACAGAAAAAAACAGCACAATCTAACATTTCTTTACAATACAGTAATTAGTAATAGGTAGAGGCAGGACTTTTCAGCATGTATTTGTTCTTGATAACAATATCTAATTACTATTTCACATCCTTTTCAATGCTTCCATGTTACATAAAATTATATTACATAAATAAAATAAAAGTTATAGACATGATTTAGCGAGTTCAAAAATTTTGTAAATGTTTAAAAATTCAAGGATTAATTACTGGGAAGAATTATGCACTGGAACCAAAAATTAAATAATGTTTCCAAAATATGATATTTAAAGCTACTAAAAAGAGGTAACTTTCCAGTGTTTAAGGCTATGGCAGTTATTTAACAAAAATTATACATGCACATTGAAAGATAACAAATAAGGTATATTCAGATGTCGATAATTAAGAAAACGAAAGATTGAATTATTGGCAGATGAGAATGTTCATTTAAGTTGCATTCAGGATATAAGCATCTCTTCACGGAATCAAATAATGTGGCATACAGCCAAATAAGTAGAACTGTTTTTCAGTAAATATAGATTGGCATCTAGCATTACTCAGTCAATCAAATATATTACACAGCCCCTTTAGAGCATTAGATTTGTAAGAAACAAGTCAAGAATTTAAAAAAAAAAAAAAAGCTCAGTGCAAACCACTTTTAATATCTCATCTTGTAATATTTGTCAGTTTTATTACACTGACTGAATAAAGAGAATAAAAAAAAAATCATACAAATATGCTTCAGGTAGGCATTTACTAATTTTATTTGAAATATTTTATATATAATATTTCTGGAGCAGCTGAGTGACTATAAGCTTCTGAAGGGCTTTGCTCAATGGAGTCACTTATATATTCTGTTTATTAGTGTGCATTCTTGGACCAAAGTAATGCCTGGAAATATCCTTACAATTCTGCAAAAATAAAAATGGCTGAACCTATATTATAATAGAACAATCCCCAATATTTTTGTGCTCTAAAATTTGAAAAGTTTACTTATTTATTGTTAATTTAATGATGCTGTAACTCAAAGTATACGTATAGTGCCAAGTGACTGAACAATTGTGAATAATAAATTGGAGAAATTCTGGAAGGAAGTGGTGATGGTTCAGTTTAAGATATGATCTAAGTATTGCCTCAAGGAACTGAGAAAACCATAAGAAACCTAAGTCAGGATACTCTTTTCCCAGCCAAGCTTTAAACAGTGCAACTCCCAAACACATGATAGAAGTGTTACCACTCTGAGCTTAAAGAAAGTCACCATATTCCACATTTACAAATATACTGTATATGCGTATCCATAGCTACTCTGGTCAACTCAGTGGATGTATTTTACAACAAAATAATCAAAGTCTTTGTCAAAATATATACCAGTAATATCATTCATCCAGATCTCTACAATATTGCAATGCATATCAATTATTATGGCTTTATCACTCGGTCCATGCATGTTCACAGGTTAATTTATTAACAAGACAAACTAAAATTATTAAAGGTAATTATACACCCATTGATTTTTAACATTTCATTCACCTACATAAAATCTGACAAAGAAACTTAATTCCCAGTTGTTTATTATACATCTTAATTATGTACAAGCAGTTGTCTATGACTGAAAAGTAAATACATGCTACAACGTCCTGCCCCTAGTAATAAGGCAATATTATCCCTTAACCTCAGCTTATCCCCCCAGTTCTCTTCTAAAATTTGTGTGTGTTTTTATACTGAAAAGTTGTTTTTCTTTCAAAGATAACAGCTATAGAGAGAAATATTTATATACATGCATATATTTTCTTTCGCACCATTGCGCCTTTTACCCCATCAGCAAATAAAAAAACACAAAAATTCCGCCACCATAATTAATTCTCGGAATTCTTCTTTCACTGTTACTTCATAAATATACGCGAATTATTAATGTGACATTTACCTGCGCACTGGGAAAGCAGCATCAAGTACAAGAAAGAACATTATCAGATAATGGGGTGAAAATGTCCATGAGATGGGGCTTGCCCAAAGAAATGGATCAGATTTCATATACACTTGTACTTTGTAAGTAATGGTTAACTTGAAAAGAAAATATTCAGTGCTGTGTAACTCTTCAAAAATAGTGTCTTTTATAATACAGAAGTTGAATCCAAATTTGGCTTACAGATTTATGAAAGTTGAATTTGAATGGAGGCTACAGATATAGAACACAAGGGTGTAGGCATGTGGTTGTGTGTATATGTATACACTTTTGCTACCTGTTTAGTTTGTTGGGAATGCTGAAGGCCTTCATGATATTACATAAAATTAAGCTTATCCCATGTATCTCCATTCAAGTATCAAAATTCTAATATTACATCTTACAAAGTTATTGGCCTATGAAAGCTAGTATATTTCTCTGGGCTACCCTAGGTTATGTGATGAGCTTTGTTCCGTTTTTACATCAAGAAGCGTAGGTTGTTTGTGAATTAACTTCATGTTTCTCTTTAAGCATTTCTGGACAGTTCTTTTTTCTTTTTAATTATAAATACGTTAAAGGGAGAAGAACTAATGTCTTAATTCCCTTTCAACTGAAGAGTAACTATCAGAAAGTTTCTTGCATAACTGGAACACTTAAAACTGTTGAGTGTTCACTGGTTCACTACTGTTGTTGCCCTTGCACTCATTTGCACTGTTAGCAATACTGAGTTCATCTCTTTGCTGTTCCCTGCATGATAACAGGGATACTACTACTGAAGTCTTCACACCCTTCAGAACTCCAATATAAGCCATTCCTCAGTCCCCATCCTGGAAAAATCACCATATTTTAATGACCACAATCTTTTAAAGACAACAGTCATGTAACAGGGATGGCCATGAGTGACAGATATGATGTGTGCAAAGGAAAGGAGACTAAAATGCACAAAGATTTCTGTCTCCTGCAGTGTGACACTATTTAATTTGGTAGACATATACCAATGTTTCAGAAGAACCTGCTGCCTCCATCTTAGGGTAGAAGAGTTATTCATTTATTATGAAGATAGAGTTACAAGCAAGAACGTAAGTCTATGCCTTAATTCTGTTGCACTTTCTGACTGAGTTAAAGTTTAAAGATAGAATTCTTGTGAATATATTTTAAACACACTTTTTATAATAATATCAGCCCAAATTTTATTACTTTTTATGTAACAGGTGAGTGGATGTATGTATTTTCTTTTCCCTCACAATTTTCTTTTTTATTCATGGTTTATAAGTTAAAATTTTTATTGAAGATATTTTTTAATATTCTGTGGCAGACAATGTAAGTTGCTAAACAGGTTGCTAAATACATATATTTTACCCTTTACTATTTACCTCACAAACTCCTCATATAGCATGAAAAATACAAAGTCTGAGGTGCCCATTTTGAACACTCTCTGTGAACACTTTGAAAGTACTTTGTGACTTTATCTAGACCTATATAAAATTTCAAAACTTCAAAATAAGTTCTTCAAATGTTCAAATAACTTCTATATACCACAACTGTCATAAAAAATTTTAACTACATCAATGTTCAAGTTAACACCACTCAAACCAAAAGTCTCCTTACAGCCAGTTGTTTAATCCACTTCTTACTGATACATATTTTTCTTTAATGTCATGATGACAAGAACTCCCAAATGTCATAGAAGTGGTTATACATATCTTCACCTTTCTCTTTTAAGTAGAAACCTGATCTGCAAATAGGATATTGGAAACTGTAGAGACAAATTAGTAGTTACTAATGACAAAGTAGTTTAGTAATATTACTTTTCCATTTTACATACAGACAATGTAATTATATGACACTTTGCATATCATTACGTTTATTAGCAAAAGTGGTGGCCCATTGGTGTTTATAAGAAAAGTAACTTATGTAATAATCTTGAAACTACACCCAGTGGCAGAGTATGTTCACTTTGCAGTTCCCATGATTTGTGTTAGGGCTCCAGGCACAAAGGCAGAAGCAACATACTGCACTTTCTACTGAAACAATGAAGTCTCCTTGCATCTTTCAACTGGAAGTGGACCTTGGATCCTCATCTGTCTCTGATGTTGTCTTTCCATCATACCATACACTTGAAGAATAATTTGTGAGATTCCATTTGATGTTGAGTGATAAAACATTTTCAAGTACCTGTCTTCCACTAATGTAGCATGTCCAGGGAAGCACCTCGATGACCCACTATAAATGACCCAAACACTGACAACATACATGTAGACAAATTATGTGAACAATGCCCAGTACAATTTTAAGAATCATTATACAAAGAGTAATATTTATACGCCTGAGGAATGCCGTGCCATAGCTCAGGTGGTTAGTCTCCAGCTTCCCACCATGGCAGCCCAGGTGGGACTTGCGGTGGACAAAGTAGCACTGGGGCAAGTTTTCTCCAAGTACTTTGATTCCCTATGCCAGTTCTAATTTCATCTATTGCTCCACATTCATCATCATCTATCATCCAGTGCTGGTACAATAGGCTCATTAGTGGTCAACGTACCAAGTGGACTTAGTCTCACTCCACCCCAGAAAATAAAAAAGAAAGCTATAAGCCAGATGATCTGATGCTCTTGGGAGAAGATGACAGACTATCATTCAGAGGGTCTGAGTTTGATTCCTGGCGTGATCTGTGTATCTTTCTGCACACAAATTGCAGTCTTGACTTCAAGGATAGGGCTTTGGGAATGTAAAGAGTGCTAGACCCCTCCAAACACTCAGAGCCCACATAGGTGTAGGTGCTCTCTGCCAAATTTCACTCCCCAACCACCCTATCATGTGGTGAGGGAACAGCCGCCCTATAGATGCTCCCACTTCATAAATGGATTCTGTACACTTGCCATGACGGGCGGAGGCAAGAAAAACCAACATAGATGATATCTGGAGGCACTAAACAAACAACATATTTGTAAGTCATGTAGAATTATAACAAGGAAAATATATTCTGATATTCAACTGGCTTTGAGTAATAAAAACATTATATTCATGCTCACGAATGCATAGAAATCTCCCCAATAATAAAATACTATTATCTGTATAAATATATGACAGTACTTCATGTTAGGTAATACAAATTATAATTAATTTTTAAACTATCCTTTTATTATAAAATAAACTTCAAAGAGAACGCAACTTCCCTCTATAGAAATTTCATCAGGATAAGGCTTGAAATGTATGCTGCTGATCCTACTGAAATGTGTCCTGACCACTCTAAAAAGTGTGTGTATAACTATATAAAAAATAAAGGGCAAAAGAACTGTATGTATGCAGTACAATGTTTAGACATAGGACAGAATTAAGACTGAGTTTTCTTTTCATAAAATCTTGCCAGACCATTGACCATTATTTTCTGTCAGTGTTTACTGATCTTTAAGAATAAATGTAGTGCATTAACACTGGTGAAATTTTTATTATTAATAGCCTGAGAAGTGTTAGTGGCTATAAATAATTATGTGAATAGCACCACAGTTAACTGCTGAATCATTTTAACTTAAATGTTTACAATGCTTGTGAACTCCCAGTACTTTAACACACATACACCCAATGTACAACCTTCAAGCTCCTTGCTATCTACCTGACACATGGAATTGTGGACTTCTCAACTTTCTACAATTGCAACAAAATAATCAAATTCGGTCCACCAAACAAAATCTAATTAATCATAAAGTATATCCCAGTTATCTACATTAATAAAGGGAATAAAAGGCATGAATTATAAAAAAATGTGGATTATCCAAGTTTCAGGTGTGACAGGAAGACCATGGTTATTGTTGAATATAAAATTTGTTTCAATTATCTCAAAAGCCATAATGGAAAAACTGTACGGGCATTAAATATAAAGTGTGTGTTTAATTTTTTCTGCAATTTTTCTTTGAAAGAGTTTTTGCTCTGATAAATATTTATTTCAAAAGAAAAGGACAAATAGAGAAGGATGAACTACAACAGATGTGGGAGGAAGTGGTTGTTGCCAGATTTAAGGCACTATCCAAGCATTTGCCTAGAGGGACTGAAGAAAATTACAGCAATCCCCGGGATAGTCAGTGGGTTAGCTGTGATTCAAACCAGGTACCTCCTAAATACAAAGACAAAAGTATCACCATTTCAGCCATTGACCTTAAAGATCCAGTACCATTAGACATTACTTTGCTTTCAACATGAACTATGAGAATATACAGAGATTCAAATCAGATAAATTTGATTGATTCGTAGGAATTGATCACTGATGTTCGGGTAGGAGCAGACAGCTTTAACAACACACTAACCTACACTTTACTATTGCTACAATAAAATGTGACACTCTCTCAAACTGTAAGTCTTTACACTGCCAGTTCAGTCTCCTAATCTGCAGAGCAGACAAGCGAAATATCAGTGTTGATTTGGTAAAAGATAACAGATAAAATGTCCTTGTGAAGATGTATGGGAGAGTGGAGATGTAGCTCCCATGAAGTCTTAACCTTAGCACCAGATGGTGGCAAGTGGTCAGTTTCACACCCCAGCCACTTCACCCCAAGGGAAAGATCCCGTTAGCCAGTACATAGGAGGCTGTGTGGAACAATGGGGACTTAAACCTCAGCCATCCAGCCTGCACCTTCCATTGCTATATTGAATTCAGTATCCCTGCTGCTTGCAGTTCACTATGAGACGACTAAAACTGTAAAATCTATTTCTTATTTCATGATGCAAAAGCATAGAAATTTATTACTAATCACTGCAATAAAGAAGCTGCCATACCCTCAGTTGTCTGTTGGTTATTTGCTTCACTTGCTCCTTTGTGAAGCTGTAAAACCATAAAATGTGACCCACTGCTGTGTCTACACAACAGCACAACATACTCACATCACATGCCCAATTTCTGAGAGCTGAGTTGGTAGCCAACTGGCACTCCACTCAGCTGTCAACAGAGAAGAGCTCCTTGTGCAGTGCTGGGAACTCAAGATGCGGCGTTGACCGCTTAAACTTGGCTAGTGCATCCATATGCAGCATACTCAGTTCTCTGTTAACAGAAAACACACTTTTATCTTCAGCTTTCATTTATCAAGTGCAAAACTTGAAGATAGGTATAACAGTTTGCTAGCTCCTGTGTAAGTCTTTCTCTGTAATGCAGAGGTTCACAAGTACGTTTATTACTACTTAATCAGAGATGAATTTTGTTGGAACTTGGGACTTAACCTTAAATTTGAGTCCACCATTGCTGCTTCTGCTACAGAATATCATATTCATATTAAGAAACTGTTTTTTTATTGCTAGTGGAGTGGGACTAAGTCCCTTGCACTGTGGCCACTTCTGGCCTATTGTACCAGCCCTAGATGATAGGTGAGGGTGATTGTGGAGCAATTGGTGGAATGAAGATTGGCAGGGGAAACCAAAGAACTTGGAGAAAACATGCCCCAGCGTCACTTTGTCCACCACAAATCCCACTTGACCAGACTCGGGATTGAACCCGGGCCGCCACGGTGGGAAGCCAGTGGCTAACCACTTGAGCTATGGCGCGGCCCTAGGAATCTGGTTAAGCTGGCAAACAAATTTATTTATTCATGAAATGAATAAACTAAAAAGGAAGAACTGAAAGAGATATCAATAGATGAATAAAAAATTCAGTTCTAAATTTATCAAATTATAAAATGCATACTACAGAACAGGGAGATTAAAAAACAATTCAAAACAAGAAACATATAAAATATATGTCAAACTGATACTAATATAAAATTCCAAAACAGGGACCCTTACGAAAATGAAAAAAGACAAACTCCAAACAATGGATATGAAACTCAGAATATAACATGGGACAGAATTAGAAATGAGAGTTTTAGAGAAGCTAGAATTCAAAATTGCATCATAGAGTTAGAAAAGAGACAATTAAAATTTTGGCCATGTAAAAAAAGAATTCATAGAATGAGAGGGCTGAGGCTCTAATCAGGATTCATTTTAAAGAAAACATCTATGGCAAGACCCAGAATAATATGGCTTTGCCAGGTAGTGGAAGATGTCAAGTAGAAAGGCAAGAGCTGGTATTAAAAAGTAAAATTGTCCCTGTGCTTGATTAGTTAAGCACTATGCCATGATGACATATGACAGAATGGAAGTATACCTCCACCATTCTTAATCTCGGCATTAGATGGAGGTGAGTGGTCAGCTTCACACCCCCTGCCACTTTACCCGCAGGGGAAAGAGCCCTGGTTACTCAGTGGATAGGAGATTGAGTAGGTCCCAGAGCTGGTCTGGGTGCTATGGAGAAGATAAAATTCCTGCACTGCTGGGAATCAAATCCAGGCTCTCCAGCCTGTAGCCCATCACTATACCAACTGAGCTATTCCAACTCCCAGAAAGAGCTGGTAAGATATCAAAAGGAAAAAATTGTGGGAAGAGAAAAGGCTGGGGACTTCTCATTCACTGACCCCCCACAATATAGAAATTATGCTAGAACAAGACATCATGAATCCCTAAAGTAGTTAACATTTGGTTTAAATTGTAAAATGACCTTTATATTGAATGCTATAGTGCAAATCACACCATATTTCTGGAAATCATTACAGAGTATTACATTGCCAACTGTAGTGGTTACCAGACCACACAAAACAGCAACAAGGAGCACAGTAACATATTTAAAATCTTTGCTAGGGTATTAATAACAACAGAACAGAGATATCTCACCTGAGTGTGGGAACCTTGGCGAGCAAGGCATCATACACAGTCACATCTCCCTTAATGGGTACTGAATGATTTCTCTCAAGCTCTAATCGAAGTGCTCTCAGAACAGCTTGACTAAGCCGACCAATCTCTGCAAGCCCTTTTAATCCTGGCCGATCTAGTTAGGAACAATTTTATAACATTACTAAAATCTTCAAAGTTGGAGGTATATAGATACCAACAGGTCATACAGTCATTCAGAACAAAACCTGTTCTATTGCACATAAGCTTATATAGAGTGTTCTACCTTCTGGGGTATAACATCATTTAGTCTGCTGAAAGTCAACTGAAATTTCTAAGAAACATGTCACCTAAATCTTCAGGGTTGAAGAATAAGCCAGACAAGAAACCAGCATGAGGTAAGTAGTAAGCAGAGTGCTGCTTTCTTTTAAAATGTCAGTTGACTTTCAATGGACTACATGGTGCTATAGCCCACAACATAGAATGCTTCATAATTACCACTGTTAGAACTTCAAATCCTATAAGCTTATAAACCATATCCCTTACATCACTGATGGTGCATCATCATCAAATAGCGACAAATGAGCAACACATCATCATTAGAACAATAATTATAATTTCAATACATAATTAAAACCAGAAATACCATGACAAAGATCTCATTGAAGAGAAGGGGGTTTCTTCCATTAAGACTGCCTATTCAAGTTAGCAACATAACCTAAAAGATGTTTTAGACAAGGAGTATTGTTATGAAAAAGTTAAATAGTTCCATCCAGTGTGACTGGTTAAGATTATCCCCCTTTACTTATTTCAGTTATTCATGCCCTTACATGTTTCGGTCTTCAGAGACCATCTTCAGAGGGACACCTTTATATCAATATAGTTAGAAGCCACTATTACAGTACATGTTCTAGAAGTTACAATATATACATACAATATAAATAATATACAATTGGGTGTAAAATCTAAAGTCTTTACAACTATTGTAACTATTGTATGTATATATTTGAACTTTTAGAACATGCACTGTAATAGTGGCTTCTAACTGTATTGGTTTAAAGGTGTTCCTCTGAAGACCGAAACATGTAAGGGCATGAATAATTGGAATAAAAAAATCTTAACCAGTCACACTGGATGGAACTATTTAACTTTTTCATAATATTATTAGTGTGACGGACCAGAATGAAACAAATAAAAAAAAGGAGTATTGTTCTTTCTGCTGTAGGTGTCTACAGAGGCAGACTTTAATTATATGTATATAGCTATCCATGTAACATGCCCACAGGGGTGTGAGAGGTTGAGGCTACCACATCTTCTAGACCAGGCATGTTCAACTTCAAACAGGTTGTGAGTGACTTTTTAGTGTCAAAACTGCCAGTGATCTACCATCCCCTCCTATCATTGTACCTCGCTTCAAGCAAAAATATTGATAAAAATAACATGACACATGATGTTTGTTGTAAAAGCAACATGCTTGTACATTGAAAGTACAGACTTACCTTGTTCATTAAGAACAGAAAAATAGGAATGACTAATATGTATTTTCCCTTAAAAATATGAATACAATCATATTATATTACAAGTGAATTTACATGCTTTTCATGTATAATTTCCTTATAGGTCTATGAGATCGACCAAAACTAGTCCCACGATTGACGTGTTGGACATGCCTGTTCTAGACAATCGGCTCACAGGTGGAGGTAAGTTGTCAGCCTTAAGTGTCGACCATGCTTTATCTCCCAGGTATCTCCCTCATGCTCATTTCTGTTAGATGCTGAGTTGAATCCATAGTGTGGATGGAAGGATTAGGTCAATTAAAAAATCGATCCCCGTCGGACTCGAACCCACAACCTTCTGGCTTGTAGCATAGAGCCTCAACCAAATACACTACCGCGTGCCACCTGTATGTATATAACTGCTTAATAATTATTTTCATTTAAACAAAAAATTTGTCTCTATGCTTAATAAAGCACCACTCTGTTAGAATTTGTGCAAAAGTTTTTAAAAAAATGTTTAAATTCGCTTAGTGGGGGGTGGAGTCCAACTGGGTCCACTCAGCACAGATACCACTGATTGGCCTATTGTAGCCTGCCCTGGATGATTATGATGGAGAATTTGGTGGAATGAAGATTGACAGGGGAAACAGAAGTACTCGAAGAAAACCCACCCCAGCACCACTTTGCCCACCACAAAGCCCATTTGACCAGACCCGGGATTAAACCCGGGCCGCAGTGGTGGGAAGCCAGGAACTAACTGCTTGAGCTATGGTGCGGCCTTGTGCAAAAGTGGTGGTAGAGAGGATATTTTATCACTTTCAGTTGCTACAAAAGCTTCAAGTCCTACAGAGACTTATTTATTTACTGCCTGTTTAATGGTGATGTCAATAGTTCAGATTACAAAGGAACAAATAATAGGACGATTAGTGAATACTGAATTGGAAAAGCATTTGGAAAGAAGCAGTTATCATCCAACTGAAGGTAGCATTCAGGCATTTACCTGGAGAGTCTGAGGAAAATCACAAAAACCTCAGTCAGGGTAGCCGGTTTTTCACACTGAGATTATATTTAAAGGAACTGCCAAACAAACCTGCAGAGAGCAGGACACAGGCTGAATAAAGGGCAAGTTCAGTTTCAGTGAGTTTCAGCTCTGCAACTCCCTTGGCGAATTCAAACACACAAGTAACAAGCTTCATCTCCGCTGTCTCTGTAGTGAAGAATGCATCTTGGGGCAACATTGTATCAGCATACAGCACGCAGTTCTGGCTGAGATCAAAGTACCGACTCATCCGCAAGACAGCCAATTCAAAGCTACCTAAAAATGCCACCACAGATATCATATGTATGGAATTTTATTTGTACTCTAAATAACACCTGCAATATCTCTAGTAAGAATTCAGTGAAGCAGTATGTCAATTATATACACAAAATTAAGAGATACTGTAAACTCAATAATTACTGTACAATCACAACACAATACACACATGACATACATTTTTTAAATTTTATATAAATGGTGATGTGAGATAAATAAAGAATAACCTATATCATAAAAAACAGACATGGTCTAAATCAGCGAGATTATTTATTTTGTGTGATTTTATACGATTCCCATAAACATCCCTATCACCAAGAATTGCCTAGACTCCTTCTGCTATAAGGCAAGTCATGACCACAAATCTGCACAGCAGTTTCAAGATCAAACAAGTTCTTTCATTGCATAATAATACTGAAACTGGAGATCTCAGGTCATTATATTTTCTGTGAAAGTGTGCCACTTGAAACACGTCCACAGAGCAGAATCATGTGACTGTCAAAAGGTCTTGAAATTCATTAACTTATTCTGAAAATTCTAAACTTAAAAATGATGAAGACAACAACATTCAACCACTGGACATTGTTACTATCAAACTCATGACATGCTTCTCCCAAGTAATATGCACCAGTCACATATGAATTGATTAATGCAACTGAATATAATCACACAATATTTATATTTCAAATGTTATTGTTTATATTGTTCTTCATTTCTCTTCTTAGGCCTGCAGCATATATTTGCACATGAAAGAACATAAAGACTTCAACTAGGAAGAAATTAAAATGTGTGAATGCACATGATGTGAATACAGTAAAATGATTTCAGTTCCTGTTACTCTTACCACTTTCCATGTTCGTTCAAAACACAACCATCACTAACCATACTAAAACAGAAACAAGTGATAACCATGTAACATTTGAGGTCCTTATAGCTGTGACCATTAACAGTTGAATATTCTGGGATATTATGTAAAGTAGTTTGGTAGACAGATACTCTCTGTATTAAAGATGCAGACAGCAGGTTCCTCAAAAATGTTGCTACCTATCCAAAAAATACCCAGAAGAACATAATCTTAAATAGAGTTCATAGATTTCATCCTGTTGTGTATATAATATCTTATGGTTATGACTATCAACACAACAATAAAGCACAAAATCTTCATTAAATTGTCATCCAGCATTTAGTTCTTCAACTTACTGGATGACCCATTTCAGCCTATTTAAAAACTAAATTTATATTCAAACACCAGGTAAAATTTTGGTCAGTAATAAAAGTAAAAAGTGAAGTTTTCCTTGTGCTTAATTTATTAAGCACTACTCCATAGAGATGTATGGAAAAATTGATATCTGTGTATTCTTAACTTCAGCACTAGACAAAGGTGACTGGCCAACTTCATGCCCAGTCACTTCATCCATGGGGAAAGAGCCCCTGGCACCCATTGGACACAAGGCTAGGTGGACCCCAAAACTGGTCTGGTCTAGGTGGAGAAGAGAAGCTCTTGCCCCTGCTGGGAACTAAAACCCAGTTCCTTGACTGTCTAGCCAAGTTAAAAGTTAAAAAAAAAATTCACTAATCCAGTGACGACCATCACCTGAAAACGGAGTAGATCGAAATGCTAAAACTCTGTGTACATAATCATACGAAAGGAATCTCAAAAAAGAAATTATATTCTGTGTGAAATATGTTCTCTTGTACTATTCATTTAGTTATGATGCACTCAGATCTTCTCAGGTGATCAACCATGTCAATACTGAGTTAAAAACCAACGTTTCAAAGATTTTCTCCATTTCTACCATCAGGGTTGATGATATGGCTGATGGCCCAAGAAGATTTTACCACATTTATTCACTGTGAAAGCTTTAATCTTACATTTAGTTATTACGTTCAGTGTTCAATGTTCTTGTCTTCTCTGATATGGTCTATTTCCCTCACCTGCTTTAAGCAAGACAATCTGATCATCCTGTGACAATTTCATGAAACCAGGTACCATCTTGGCAAACTCAATGATTTGCTGTATGACAGTGGTCAGCTTCTGGGCGCATTCCAACCACAACTCCTCATGTGCCTGTCAGCATGGACATCCGTGTACAGTACACACTAACAATTGGCCTTGTATAACATGTATCTCAAATTATATTGTAAAATCACACTGCGCATATAATACACATGAGCCACAATTATGTTACCCACAAATGTATATTTCTATAATTGACAATATTGTGCTTAAAACATTGGGATGTAAGAAGACATATTCTGTAATTATATATATTGTTAAATGTAAGGCGGTTTGTGACTAATAATAATGGATTCTGGATTTGATTATTGGATTTATTGACACTTCTTTAAAATTTCAGTCAATTAAAACAGCTCATGCATTGAACTTCTTCTGAATGATGTCTGTCTGATGAATGCTGTATGAAGAATCACTGAATGCACTGAATGCACTGAATGCATGAATGAACTCTCTTTTATAACTGCTATGCAACCCAAATACAAGTCACCATGTTGAACAGTTAATTTTCCTCTGTTATTCTGTTATCCATTGCAGCAGAAACATCTCCAACAGTTCCTCAGTTATTCTGTTATCTGTTGCTATGAAACATCTCATGTTTAGCAACTTGCCACCTGCCAATGACTTGTTCGTTGCTACCTATTGTAGCGGTAACATGATTTCCGAGCCAATGCTCAGCAATGGATGTCTGCTCCAGCTCCACCATTCCAGCTTTCAGCATTCATGTGACAAGGTACTGAATTAAACAGTGATGAAACCAACAATTAGGATGAAAAATTTCAATTATGGAAACATTTCATATATCCTAACCTTAGACTGTACATGATGATATGGAAAATCTACAGTATATGAGTCTACACTTTGGTCAGGGAGTGCCAAGAGTTAGAATCAGCCACCTTCCCACCCTCCACCTACACTGCACACTTTACCACCATCAACACCAGCAAGGTATATCATCTATTTATTATTAAAGGAATAAGAACAAAGAAAAAAAGAACTGTAATAATTTCAATTTGGTGTTACAGATAGAGGCATCCACATTTTGACTGTCTTGAGCCTCCCACAATTGTAAATCCGATCCTACATAATAATGACCTATGCAAGCAATAGAATTGGATGAACTTTTGGAAGTTGCCTACACTGGCCTAACAACAAACCTGCAGAGGTAGAAGAACTTTCCAAACTCTGTTAAAAGCGGTATCAACACCATGTCATTTCAATATGCAATGTGTGTAAGAATGGAATAACACTTCTTCCTGACACTCGGACACACTGAACTAAGTTAATGTATCAACATTAAATAGCATAGAATTTCCTGCAGAACTGCTTTAAAACATGTAAAAGCTACAATGCAGCCAACTATGAGCCTGTTATACCCACCTTCCCCAAAGCCAAGAAATGTACCCAATGATCAGAATATTGCTTGTCCGTTTTCTGCAAGAATCTGGTCATTAATGAATGAAAACCCTTGAATTTCCTGTTCACTTTAAGCTTGTACAAAGAAAAGCCTAATTAATGGGTAATACAGAAAGGAGAAGTGAAATATATTTTAATTTCAATGAAAAACACCACTCATCTTGCCATAAAAATGCAGCAATGGCAAACGGTAGATCTGCATTTTCACTAGATATCAACAACCACCATCCTGTTCATACTGTGGTATGTAGACCCAATGCTAGGCAATGACCACAAAACAAGCAACTATACAACAGCCATTACTAGGCAGCAGACCATAAACAGCAAGAGAGGAACAATGTTTTCTATGTGGTCCGTGCTAAGATGTTATAAGCAGAACAAGTTAGGAGCGAGCTACTTAGAAGACCACTGCAGTTAAGTCTGTGTGAGCTGTTGCTGTGAGAAGCTAGTAGCTGAGGAAGGGGATAGTATGGGAACCAAAGGGAACGCCCAGTATTGAAACCACTACCAAGCGACAGCTCATAAAGAATGTAAGAGACTGATAAGACCTAGTGTGCCCTATAGTGATTTGTGAAGTGTAGAACAGTGAGCATATAGTCCTCACTTGCTCTTACATGTTGTAAGAGTTCAATAAATCCAATCACTGATCCAAAACCCATCATATGACAGTATGCTAACATTAATTGTAACTGTCTTTAATTTTATTGAATTTCATTCATAATAAACTGCATATCTAATCAATGAAATCTGTATACTAAAATAAATAATTTTGTATTCCATATTGTTTGTTATATGTACTTTATTTAATTTACTGAGTTTACAGGGTGGATGCCAAATATTCAATGTTCCCCCTCTGCCTGTATGTTGTACTGTCACTACTCTAAACTTTGTGTAAATTTCCACATTATACGGTTGTCAGCTGATGTGTTGGAAGTGCCACTCAGAATGATGTAAGCTGGAGAATGTGTGACTGAAGTCAGTGATCTTGAACAACAAAACTGATCATTTGAGTTGGCACAGATGATCAAGAACAATGAAGAATGGGCTGATCTTCTTAACTAACCAGCAGGTCAAATCCATGTGATAATATTCCTTTAGATATTTGCCCTGGTGACTGAGTGCAAAGGGATGAACAACGTTGTTTAATATTTCCACATTTTGGATATCATGTGTGATTATGCATAGACAATAGTAGACTATGTTCTAGAATTGTGAACTTCAAAGAGTTGCATTTCTAGACTTCAAAGGAACTCAGAATTGGGTCATGATTTCACTAAAACCATTCATTTGAACAACAGAGCTCAACTCTGGGTGGTCAGGTGTGACTTCTGTTCATTCAGAGATGTAACTGGCTACACACTAATCCAGGAAATTGGAATGATAATGTAAAGGAAATGTACATAAATTCACAAAATATGAATAACCATAATCAGACAGTGTACATGTATAACACATTAAACGGCTAATTTAACATCTAACTACAGTCAACTCTCGATTATCCAGGGGTGGATTAACCGGTTTGCGGCTTAACCGGGGCTACTGAGGCTTTTTTGAGGCTTATATGTTGTTTAATATTCATTCACTTTTGTTTCACATGGTGAGTTGTAACACGTTTTTCGTGTGAACCAAGCTCTGCATTCTTTGGTCCCGTTATGCTAACACAATGTTCTAGGGTAGGGGTGAAAGAATGCAAGGATTTTTCGAAAGTTTCAAGGACAGATACATCGCCGCAGTTAGTTTCTTTGTATCGATCTTCAAGTGCGTTAGCAAAATGTCAGGGTGTAAAAGGAAGCATGTTGTGTTAAGTATTCAACAGAAAAAGGAAAATGCCACAAAAAAGTAAATGACAATATTAAATTTTTTTAAGTATTAAGTGTGAATATTCGTAAAAAGTGTTGGATGTTGTTGAAGACTGTGATTGAAATAACTAATTCATACTTCAGTGTAATGTAAAAAAAGTATTAAATAGGCCATGAGATGACATAAAAATGATGTTGAATAAATTTAAATACAGGTAGGCCTATAGTATTATGAAGGTACAGTATTACAGTACTACTTTTAATAAAATTTGTCTTAACCGGGTTTTCGATTAATCGTGATTTCCATGCCCACCATTATCCCGGATAATCAAGAGTTGACTGTATTTAACTTGTGTAATTAAACAGCCAATGAATAAAGAAGAGTGTTTCCCAGGCAATTTGTATACAATTAATTATGCTGCCTGAATTATAATCAAAATACTTGATCCAATTTACAACTCTTGAGATCTCATGGGTCTAACATCGAAATGTGTAACACCATGTAATGTAGACATATATGATAGATGCTGAAATTTATTTTCATATTATATATTACGAGAGATTTATAAGTCCTGAATTCAAAATGTTTTTTAAACTGAGATCATAGCACGACTGACCATGTTCTTGTAGTAGATGAGTTTTGAGAGATCCTGGGGCTTGCGGAACATCTCATGTATGTGTTCTGTCGTGAAGAGACATGTTCTCGCATGTGCATCTGCAATCGTCTTGCTCAACAGCTCTGATATCTGTGCTGGATCTGAAAAAAAATATAGTGAGAATAAAATGAGAACTCTTTACAGTCGCATTGAAGTGTCATACGTTTAACACAAAATGACATATTCAAAATTAATAAATTGAGAAAAACATTTATAGAAATGCGCAATTTGAAGTTCTCATGGGGGTCAATACGAATACCACATTCTTCTGGGGTTCAATAGCGTGTAACTATTTTTGGACAAACCTGCTGCCCTCAACTTCTGGACAAAACAGAAAGTCAATGTCTCCCTCCTGCCTGCTAGTGCAGAAATGTTAATTTCTTCAAATAAATTATTTTATCCAAAATCATGACATGACAATAGAAAACAGATAGTTTGAAAATGTGGCACAGTTCAGATATTTGGGAACGACTATAACAAATCAAAACCTGATTCAGGAGGAAATTAAGAGGAGATTCAACTCTGATAATGCTTGCTACCATTCATAACAAAACCTTTCGTCTTCTCATCTGCTGTCCAAAAACATAAAAATTAGAATATACAAAACTATAATTTTGTCAGTGGTTCTGTATGGGTGTGAAACTTGGTCTCTGACATTAAGGGAGGAACATAGACTGAGGCTGTTTGAAAACAAGGTGTTGAGAAGAATATTTGAACTGAAGAAAGATGAAGTGACAGGAGGTTGGAGAAAACTGCACAATGAGGAGCTTCATAACTTGTACTCTTCTCCAAGTATAATTAGAATGGTCAAGTCAAGGAAGATGAGGTGGGCGGGGCATATAACACTAATGGGGGAGACGAGGAATGGTGTAGGATACTGGTGGGAAAGCCAGAAGGAAAGAAACCACTGGGAAGACCAAGGTGTAGATGGGTGGACAATATTAGAATTGATCTTAGAGAGATAGGATGGGATAGTGATGATTGGATTGATCTGGCTCAGGATAAGGACCAGTGGAGGCCTCTTGTGAAAACGGTAATGAGCCTTCTGGTTCCATAAAATGCTGGGAAATTCTTGAGTAGCTGCAGAATTGGCGGCTCCTCAAGAAGGGATCATTTCCATAAGTAAGTAAATTATTTTATCAGCTTCATCCAATTTTTATAATCCTATGTCACATTAAAACAAATCTTTTTAAGTAATGTTACAATTGCATTACGATGCACAGAAAAATGACTGCTTAATTTCTTTTTATACACCAGAAACTTTCTTCTGTAGAGAACATATGCAACACCTGCTATGAAGCCATGCTACAACAAAGACGGCCAGCTGCTGGCTTCCCACCATGAGGGCCTGGGTTTTTTTTTGGGTCATGTCATGTTGGATTTGTTGTGGATAAATTGACAGTGGGGCAGGTTTTCTCTAAAGACTTCTGTTTCCCATGCAAATTCTTATTCCATTATCATCTCCAGGTTCCTTGACCATCCTATCATTGACATTAGGTAATTCTGATGCTGACAGCATCTTTAAATAATACTTAAAAAACAAACATGATAATAAAATATATCAGGGTAGGGTTATGAGTGATTACTGAAAGAAATGAAAATATAATCAGTACAAAATAAAACAGATGAATACGTGCAAAAACTTAATAAAACATCTGGGTAGAATGTTCGATGGAAGAATACCAAAACATGTCCCAAAATATAAACCAAAAGGCATCGAGACTGAGGAAGGCCTTGGAGTAGATGGAATGAGTTGTGAAGTCAGAACAGGTTTGATTGCCTGTATCATGAAGGGAAGAAAAAGACATAATTGCCATAAGCTTTTGTATTCTGAACATAATTAAAAAAGGTTATGAATAATTTATATACATTAAGGGAATTAACTTTAATGACCTTTCATATTAAAGACGCAGATTTATAAACTTCTTTCATGAAGCTCTATATTAGTATATTAATGGGGGAAGGAAGTTTCATTACTTTTGTTTTTAAGTAATCTCTGCACCTAATCGCACATGACTACTGTATTTACTTTACTTATATGAAGTTCATGCACTCTTAGTTTAAAGTAGGAATGGGAGGAGGAAATTCAAATTCTTCATTGCTCTCAATGCAGTGAGTTGAAATAAGTACTTTGATGCTAGAAACAGGAAGATGGCACACAGGAAAAACAATATAATACTCATACAGTGGAACCTCGCTTAACGAGCACCTCTCATAACGAGTAATTCGCATAACGAGCAAAACAAACTGTAAAAAAAGACTCGCTTAATGAGCGACGTTTCACATAAGGAGTGACAAGAGGGGAAGTCCTGGATTGTGCGCTAGCTACATCGGTCTGTGTTTAGCACTCGTTTCGCTAGCATCTTAGCGTCATTTGTGATCACACATTTTTCCAAACTTGTGTTCAGACATATTATTTGTGATTTTTTGTGCAAAGTTTAATACCCTTGCAAAAATGTTCCCGAAGAAAAAGCCGAAAAAAGACAGCCATAAGAGAATAAAAATAACTGTAGAAATGAAAAGTAAAATCATTGAAAAGCGAGAATGAAGTGTGAGCGTGGCTGATCTAGCATGCACATACAATCGGTCTACATCAACGAGTTGCACGATTTGGAGTTGCATTGTGTTTCACAGCAAGAAGTTGTGGACGAGAGTTTCTCAGAGGAGGAGGAGGAGGTAACAACAAAGTAACAATCTTCTGGCACAATAAGAGAAATGCTGAAAGCATGGGAAACTGTTGCATCGTACATTGAGAAGCATCACCCTAATAAGGCAGTGGCTATGCGCGCTACAAATTTATTTAATGACAATGCTGTGTCACATTTTCATCAAATTTTGAAGCGTCGGCAAAAACAAATGTCTCTAGACAGCTTTCTAGTAAAAAAGAATTAAATATGTATCATAAATAATAAACTAATTATTTCGATTTTTTTTTTCTGCAAATCGAATTCGCATTCCAGGTTGGTTAATTCCGCATAAAAGAAAAGATGAGGATGATTCACGCTCCTTAACAATGTATATATAATTTTCTTTGAATAAACGTTATACATAAAATTTTTTGAGTATTTCTTTGGCCATGAAATGCATTATCACATTTTACATTAATTTATATGGGAAAAATTGTTTCGTATTACAACTAAGATTCTAGAATGAATTATGCTCGTTAAGCGAGGTTCCACTGTATTTTGGTTCAGTACAAGGGTAAATATTTATTTACTACTGAAAAGTGCTTAATATCATTTGAAACTTATTGTATGCTAATGCTATTTCTTTATAAACATATCAATATAAATAAATTGTAATGTGATCAACAGTGTTATGCAAAAGGGTGAATTTTCACATTATAAGTGACATGTACAAACTGATGTCGGAAGCAGCGTCATCAGCAGCAACTTGAAGCACAGGCCAAATGATGCTCGAGATGATTCAATTTCGTATAGCAACAGGCGTGACCAGAGTGGTTTGAACGTCTGTTGTACTGCGATGTGGAAAGCAAATGGAAAGACTACCACATAATCACTTTTCCTGGATAGTCTCTTTCCAAAAACAGAAGATCGCATTAAGTGGAGGAACCGTTTTGGAAGAGACTGTGGACCTGTCCTCTGACAGATTACTGATGAATGAATGAAGTGACATGTACATACAAGAAAGATGGAGTAACAAGATATGCAGTGAAGGGGAGTAACAGGAAGTGAGTATGTGAACTCAGAAGATCCAAACTTATTGCACAATATTGGAGAAAACAAAAGAATCCTCATTATCACATAACATACTCCAGTGTCAATATGTTGAACCAATACGTTAAACTCCAGTCATATTTATCTCAATGTGTTTTTCATACACCTCTGTCTTTAAAACAAAACAGACACATATTTCAAACACAAGAATTAAATTTACAACAATTAAGAATCACTGTCTGTCTGTCTGTCTACCTAACTATGGCTCTACAGCCCATTCTCATCCTTCATTAAGTTACTTCTAGGTCTGTAACCCTTATGTTGGCCACCCCACTCATTTATTCCTCTATACAGGTCTCTAATATTCTTGTTCTTGCTGTTCGTTGCAAGATCATCAATTTTGTCTTTCAGATATTCCTTCTTTCTATTCCTGAAATGTCTGCTGGTCTCACATTCCCCATTTATTTTGCTTGCATCCTTTAACCACTGCAATTTGGCTTGTTTTCTTTTGTCTAATAATAATTTTGAGCATTCTTCATCGAACCATGGCTTATGCTTCTACAGGTCATAATAACCTAGACTCCCTTTGTAAGAATTTTTTATATCCTCTCTAATAGTTTCCCAAGCTTTATTAACATCCACATCAGCGTCTAAGTTTTCTAAAGCTGCTAACCTATTTGAGATTTCAACACAATACTGCTCTTTGCCCTCTATCTCATTCAGTTTCTTGCCATGGAACCTCTCCATATGAACTCTGTGCATTGTTTGTTTGTCTATAATGTAAGCAAGTGTAAAAGCACCGACATTTAAAAACTTCTGATTGCCTACAAGACAAATCAAAAGTCAAGGTAACATAGTCCCTAGGCTTAATTAAGCACCACTATTAAGAGGTGTGTGGGAGTAGAGGTATAGTTCAGCACATTCTTAACCTTGACATTAGCGGTCACCTTCACACCCCAGCCACTTTATTCCCGAGGAAGAAGCCCTGGTATCCTCTGGACAGGAGGCTGGGTGGGTGCATGGCCAATCTGGAAGCTGTGGAGAAGAGAAAAATCTCTGCCCCTGCTACAAACAATATCTCAATTCCCCAGTTGTCCTACATGCAACTACTCTCTACATTAACTGAGCTACTCCAGCTCAAATTACTGTCACTGTCTTTCAGTGTGGTCAGGCTCAAAGCACTCACTTTCTAGCTTAATATGAGAACACGCAGCTTGTTTCTAGAAACATTTATTGGTACCCTCATGCCTGATTTTTGCCTCAAGATTGAAATATAGAAAGCACCATCAGTTGCAAGATTTTTTTAAAAAAAAGTTTGCTAGTATGTATACTGGCTGGAAAAAAAAACTCCATAGTATTCATTTTCCTGTGTCATGACTTGAAATATTGCCAGAAATACTTTTTTGAAAGTCTATACATACATTTATATCATCATGTAATGAATCACTGCAAAAGCTGAAGCTGTCATGGTTCTGGTAAGTTGATAACCTTTGATCAACAGCCACATATCTACAATACACATAATAGAATATGGACAAAATAATTGATTATTAATTTTTGTCATTTAATTGGAAAAACTGACATTATAACTCACTGAAATAGTAGCCAGTAGCCTGCTCTTTCCTTCCTATAATATATATTGGGTAGTAATTAAACTGTCTCAAATTTTTGCCATTTCAAAAACTATAATTCTTGGTTCCTTTACTTAATGTACTTACTTTTATAAAAAAATGTACTTACTTATTTACTCATGGAGCTGAGCCTTTCTGGAGGAGCCATCAATTCTGCAGCTACTCAAGAATTTCCCAGCATTTTATGGAACCTGGAGGTTCATTACTGAGTTCACAAGAGGCCTCCACTGGTCCTTATCCTTAGCCAGATCAATCCAATCCATACCATCCCATCCTATCTCCCTAAGATCCATTTTAATATTGTCCGCCCACCTATGCCTTGGTCTTCCCAGTGGTTTCTTTCCATCTAGCTTTCACACCAATATCTTATATGCACTCCTCGTCTCCCCCATCCATACTACATGACCTGCCCACCTCATCCTCCTTGACTTGATCATTCTAATTATACTTGGAGAAGAGTACAAGTTATGAAGCTCCTCACTGTGCAGTTTTCTCCAACCTCCTGACTCTTCATCTCTCTTCAGTCCAAATATTCTCGTCAACGCCCTGTTCTCAAACACCCTCAGTCTATGTTCCTCCCTTAATGTCAGAGACCAAGTTTCACACCCATACAGAACCACTGACAAAATTATAGTTTTGTATATTCTAATTTTTATGTTTTTGGACAGTAGACGACAAGACAAAAGGTTCTGGACTGAATGGTAGCAAGCATTACTTGAGTTCAATCTCCTCTTAATTTCCTCCTGAATCAGATTTCGATCATTTAGTTAATGTGCTCATTAATATTTGTCAGCCTATATGTTAGACTATCTCGGTCTAAGATGTATGAAAAAAAGTTTCTAGAAGCATATAGTACAATTAGTGGTAACAAGTTAAGAATCAATCTTGACCACTTGTCTTACTGGGGTGGACGGTGGTGCCTGGTTCTCCCTCAGTAGGTTCCTCCGCAGTTTGACGAGGAGGTGGGAGTGAGGGTGGGAGTCCAGAGGGGTGCTGTTGCCTCTGCTGTGGTGCCCCAACTGTGCTGCTGGGGACTGGAGATGCAGCAAGGAATGTCGTGCTATCTACAAAGCCCGCCACCAGATTTTCAACAGATGAATTTCCACTTCCTCCTCCTGCGGTTGCTGCTTCCTGCTTTACCGCCACCAAGCCACCACCACCTGTACCTCCACCACCACTACTACTGCACCCTCCTAATCGCTGATTCATGCCAGGCCTTGACTGTTGATGTTGCTGTTGCTCTTGACCAAGAAGACTCAGAGAATTAGTTTTGCTTCCGCTACCTGTTTGGAAGCCCAAAGCATGTATTATCAGAAGGAGAAGATAATGCACATACTTAATCAACACTAATTAACTTGTACGAAAGTTCCTTATATATATTTAATCAGACAAATAAAAACAAAACACAACTGAGTTAAGTCAATTTATTTTCTGGATCTCCTGTAGATGTTCACTGCCTCAGATAGTCTGGAGTAATTCTTTTGATCATATTATCTCAAACTGGACACAAAAGTGGCCAGTATGTTAAATCATCTCACTGATGTGATTCACAATCTTAGTATTGTATAATTTTCCTTACAATGACTGCAATTCAGTGTGTTTCTATACAATTTCCTCAATGAGCTTCTCGCTTTATTCCCTACCGAAACTTCTCCTGTCCCTGTGCTTAATCACTTAAGCACTATGCCATGAAGATGTAGGGGGGATTAGAAGTATAGCTCCACCATTTTTAACCCCCACACTAGATGGCAGTGAGTGGTCAGCTTCATGCCAAGGTCGCTTTACCCCCAGTACCCATCAGATAGGAGGCTGGGTGGACCCCAGAGCCAATCTAGAAGCTATGAGGAAGAGAAAAATCTTGTCCCTGCATGGAACTGAAACCTCAATCGCCAGCCCATAGCCCTTTACTATATTGACTGAGCTATTCTTGTATCCCTAACATAATAAATAGAGTTAAGCCATTCTAATCAGACAGGATCATACTTCTACATTATTTCAGTTTAGCACTTCAGGCAATTATACATTGGTTGAGGCACTATGCTACAAGCTGGAAGGTCGCGGGTTCAAGCCCCGATGAGGTCATTGAATTTTTTTCAATTGACATAATCCTTCCCGCCGCACTATGGCCCTGGTGTCAACTCAGCCTCTAAGAGAAATGAGTACCAGGAATTAATTAAATGATTTTCCTGGAGAGTAAAGTGCGGCTGGCGCTTAAGGCTGACAACCTTACCGCAATCTTTGAGCCGATTATCTAGATAATGTGGGACCCTCAACGTCTCACAACCCTATGGACCTTCACAGCCTGATACAGGGATAGCTTTACTTCTTTTTTACTATTCAAAGTACAATGGTTTGGGACTGAGGCTTCTCTAAACTTTAAGAAGTTTACAACAGAATTCAAGGGGTTTCCACATAAGTCTTGGCATAACATTTAATTTCTTTCTTACAAAAAACATGAAATTCTAGGAGTATTATATTTTTATGGGCCATGATCCTTTTCAATCCAGTCCACAGTTACAAGAAATTAAATTTCAAATTTTAGACTTAACCGCATATAACAAATTCTAACAGCACCGTCTTCAAATTACATTATAAGCTATTGCAATATTGTGTTATTATCAGAAACTGAGGTGTTAATGAAATTAAATGTAATTTTTGTGCATTCACAATTAAAAATGTGTATGTAAATCTGTCCATATGTAACAATCTGAGAAGCATTAAACAGATTTTCATAAAATTAGATATTAAGGAGTTTTACAAAAATTTTCAACACATTCCAGTTGTGCTTAAAATCTAAGAGCAATGGACACCTTATGATGAGACTCATAATCATTTCTGCACCTAGTAGATGTCTGATATTTTCTGTTTGTAGAGCTGGATATCAGGATTGTTTAACAAAGTTCCCATTTCCATTTTCAGAATAAGAACATTCTTCTAATAACAGGATGAATTTATCCATTACTCTCTATTGTTTTTAAATAATCTAGTCCATACCAAATACAAAGTTCCTGAATCCTTGAATAGCCCATTCTAGCCAGTGACAATTCCAGAATTGAAGAGGATGGATACACAATCTTTGACAAAAATATAGTTTATGAGGCACCATATCTTCATTCCCCCACCCCTTCCCTTACCAATAAACAGTTTTCTTCTTAATGTCACAAAGTACAGCTGTGAAGAAAAAGTATGCTGCAGCTGTGAAAATTGGCATTGCATTGTAGTTAGTGCCAACTGAAATACAGGAGATGTTTGGTGTCATATCACATCACAGAGACAAAGTTTTAAGCATCCACCTGTATAATTATATTTAATGAAATCACCTACCCAAAATATGTCAGAGAAAACTCAGGGGAAAAGTAACCATGACAAGTAGGAGAAGCTACTGTATGCTATCTGTGTAAACTGTGCTTTGCCCCAAATCTTTCTCAAGCATCAAATCATGATTTCATCCACACTGTACATGTAGTTGTAGATTATTAATTAATAAGTATCTGATGGGTTTAATACACAGAATGACAATGTAATGATATTTATTAAGAAATTAAAAAAGTCACATATAAGCAAAAGTTATCATGTAAGATTTGAGGTCTTCAGGGCAGTGACTTTGAAGAATACATCTTCTCAGATGTGTGAACACAAGATCTCCACAGTGCCACATCCCAGAAGACAGCATTCTTCAAAATGTTATTAGACTATTAATGTAGTAAAATAATTTGTTTAGGCACAACACTGACCTGTTGTAACAACATTAGCCATGATGGCACTATCAGCAGAAAGGGTATCCAACCCAGGACCTGGCCGAGGGTCATATGTCGTTGTGCTGTCCACATAGTCAGCGCTGATGTCATATGCCATCTGCTGGTGCTGTGTTTGTACCGGTGTTGTGGCATAGGTATACCCCCCGTGTGTTGCAGGGGTGTAGCTGCCCAGGTCACTGTTGTATGTGTAGCTGAAACAGAGAATTCATAACTCACTTATTAAGGTTATATAGTTGCATCCTGTTGTTTCGGTGGTTTAAATATACAACACAGTAGGAGGAAACACCCAGCAGGAGGAAAAACATGAATGTATGATGGGACTACACATCAAACATTAGAAGTGCAAAACACAAGCACAGCAGTCTCCACAAAGAGTTTTAAAACTCCCAATGATGACCAATGACAGTTGAAACATGTAGTGTACAATGTGGTTTTAAACAAGTTCAAAAGACTCATTGTGTACATGTAGTAGCTTTCAAACAATTTTTCAAAAGAGTGTTGCATGTAAGACAGAATATCAGAGATCTTTGTTGAATACTTCTTACATCGTAATTATTTTCTTTTTCATAAAATATGCAGTGAACCCTCATTATAACGGATTAACAGGGTGGGGGGCAGAGTGTCCATTGTCGCTGATGTCCACTCTAACTGAGCAAAGGGATAGTCATGAAAAGTACAGCATAGGGCACATAACCAATAAAGTTAAAGCTATACCTGTAACAGGCTGTCAAGGCCCATAGGGTTGAGATATCGAGAGGACACATGGCCAATACACACAATAAACAGAGAAACACAAAATATGATACATAAAGGTTTTCATATTGGGGTTCCTTTTTATTTTAAATAGTTTCTAACTGCAAAACCTTCTTGGTGCATCAGTATCTCTAAAAATTTGCAGTCATATATATCCAGGTTTTGTCTGTTATATCCTGGTCCGTTATAACAAGTGATTACTATATTTATAAGTGTTAAAATTTTTTAAAATTGTTTCGGCTTGTTTGGTGAATGTGTGTGCACCCACTGCTTTGACTGCTCTCTGGTTTCAAGATTCACAAATGAAACCCAGGTTTCATCATCTGTTACTTGTGTGATGTGATTGAGAAATTCATCGTCATTTTTGTGATATCGCTCTAAAGATGTCAAAGCCAAAGCCATTCTCTGCGTTTTGTGAGCACCCTTGAGAATTTACAGAACCCATCTTGCGCAAAAGTCATAGCCTAGCCTAACCCTGACAATCCAGTGGAGAATAGTGAGCGAAATTTGTGGAGATCTGCATGAAATTGTGAAGTGCCTCCTTTCACACATTCTTCGGTCATCACTTATTAAGATGGCCGACCACTTCGCTCTCCATCGTGAACATTTTTTCGGCCATATTTGAACAGTCTACACCATTGTCTTACAGTTTCTTCACTTATTACACTCTGATCGTAAACCGCGCATAATGCACAATGGATTTCCGAAGCATTCATGTTTTCAGCGTGAAAGAAGCGGATATCTGGGCGAATTTCGCAGGTGGAGGGATTATCCATTGCAGAGCACATCATAACTCACTCTGTAGAGACAAGAACAAACACTAGGTGACCAGTTATTTGATGGTGTACAAAGCAATGGGTCATGTGACACTACCTCGCATGCCCAAGCTCTCCGCCAGTCCTACATTAATTGCCTAAAATAAAAAGGGGTTACTTTCCAAATAGCCCTCCTATTATCAATTTCCAATCAAGCTGAATTCCAAAGCACACGTTAAGCTTCAACCAAAGAAGGCTTTTGTACAAATGTCTATCCCATCTCATGTCCTGCAAAGAAACTGGGCTTACCCGCCATTATAGTTGGGCTGCAGTTGGTCAGATGATGAAGGTGTTTGCGTGTCAAAGACAGAACTGTCAGGTGCAGTTTCTGTCTGTGCTCGCAGCTGTGCCCTGTGGAACCGCACCTCATCCTCCACTTTCTCCCGCTGCTTCTTGGACATGCGACCAAACTTCACCGCTGTAAGTATTAAAATGAGAATTGCAATATCATATGTTCTTCATGTGGTCATAATTATTTGAACTAAAAGCTAACTAGCTGACTCCCCGGAGTTGAGTTCTTCTTGAAAAGCCCTCAGTTGCTCAGCAACAATACCCACATACATACATTATATTATTTTTCTGAAATGTATAACAATATTTTGTACTTATGTAACAAAGTATATTTTATCTGTGTCGGTTTAGTCTCCTCTCAAATAAGATCTCTCTGACTCTACTGTGAAACATCAGGTCCATATTTGGAAGACGTTTCTATTGTCTCAGAACAGTGTTGTCTTGATTTTTCTTAACTATTCCTGGTATATCAGTGTTCCATGTAATTATTATGTAATGTTATACTGTGACTGTGGTTTTCTGAGATGCGAAAATAGTGACTTGACTATGGGCTGGACGGCTATGGAATCGGGGTTTGAATCCCGTCCCTTCTCCACAGCTCTGTCACCCACATAGATACATACCCGAAGCTTACCGAGGTTAAACCAGCCAGGCAATGAAGCTGACAATTCATTTCCATGTAATGTTGAAATTAAGAATGCGTATAGCCCTCTCTCCACGCCCCCATACGTTTTCATGGCGTGGCGCTAAAATAAGCACCCGTAAAACTTCCTTATATACAAGCCTATTTACTTTTATATTTTATGTTTATGGTTGTCTAGAGTGTGACGCCGTGTAGTTTGTTAGTTTTGTAACACTTCTGGAGAACTCACTGCCTCAATCTGCCACCATGAATATGGAGGCCGCAGGCACCTCAGAAATGTTAATATCTTCCAGACTACGCACCAACACATTCCAGAATACCATAGTTACAATATTCCCTGCCTTCAGAATCTCAGATCTCACATACATACGTGTATATGTACTTTGCATTACTGAATGGAAAATGTCATCACCACTACGGATTAATATGAACTATATCCTAAGCAACCCCACCAAAGGTATCTCCACCTTATCGTGGTGGTGAGGTTTGAGTGCTCCTGAGACTCTGAGAGCTATGCCGGTGGTAGCGTAGCTACTGGTAGGGCCACCCATGCCGGACAGATCAAGGGGTAGGAGCCAGACAGAGAAGGATACCCTGGTCTTCCAGGTTGGGGTTTGGGCGTGAGGCTAACAACCTCATACCGTAAAAACTAAATTGTTCAGAAATCCGAGGAAAGAGTAGCCGGGCGGACCTATTCAAGACGACCTGGAAAACGTTTAAAGGATTTGAGAATTGGATCGTGGAATGTATTATCTCTTTACAGAGCCGGAGCACTGAAAATGCTACTTGAACAACTTGATGGCTGTAAACTAGATATCACTGCTATATAAGAACTGAGGTGGTTGGGTAAAGGAGTCATGGAAAAGAGTGATCATGTTGTATTCTATAGCTGTCAGAAAAAGTCACATGTTTGGAACAGGTTTTATTGTTAATAAAAAAAGGAAGCATCTTACTTTAGACTTCCAGGCAAAATCTCACAGAACATGTAGGCTATGAATTAAGGGAAAGTTTTTTTAACTATAGCCTTATTTGTGCACATGACCCAACTGAAGAAAAAAGTGATGAGGAGAAAGATTCCTTTTATGATGAATTGGATGAAATATATGGCGAATGTCCAAAAAGGGATTGTAAAGTAATCATAGGGGACATGAATGCCAAAGTGGGGAATGAAGATGTATATAGATCGGTTATTGGAAAACATAGCCTACATAACAAGTCAAACGATAATGGGATGAGATTAATAAATTTTGCATCCTCAAGAAACATGGTAGTAGGTAGTACAATGTTTAATCACAAGGATATACATAAACGAACCTGGAAATCCCCTGATGGAAATGTGTTTAATCAAATTGATCACCTCCTAATAGACGTATGGCATTGTTCAGATTTGATGGATGTCAGGAGCTACAGGGGGGCCAACATTGACTTGATCATTACTTAATAATATCAAAGATTACAAGTCGAATATCTAATGCAAGGGAGATACATGGAAACCCAGGCTAAGGAATGGAATTGTGGAAAATTGGTGGAACAAGGAGTTGCAACCAGATATACTGGATTAATTGGTGAATGCCTGGCAGCTCTCTCTGATAGTGAGGATGTCAGTGAAGCCTGGAGGGACCTCAGAGATGTTATTATAAATGCTGCTGGTGCAGTCTTAGGCAGAATGGAAAGCATAAAGCATAAGAATTGGTTTGATGGAGAGTGTGAGCAAGTGACAAATAAAAAAAAAACAGGCATATAAGAGAATACAGCAAAGGAACCATACTCGAGGGGCCATGGGAGAATACCGTGAAGCGAGAAGAAAACAAAAAAGATTGCATAAAAAGAAGAAAAGGGAATATGATAAACAAGAACTGATTGAACTGGAGCATTTAAGAAGTTCAAACGAAATTAGAGCGATTTATCAAAAACTAAACAAGAGTCGAAAGGACTTTCAACCTAGAACAACCTTACATAGAGATAAAGAAGGCACGATATTGAGTAGCGATGAAGCAATATTGGAAAGATGGGTGCAATATTTTGAGGAATTATTAAATGGTAACGCCTCTGAACAAGTGGAATGTATGACCATAGACCGGAATCAAGGAAATTTTGAGGCTGAGGAGCCAGCGCCAACCATAAAAGGATTAGAACAAGCTATAAAAAAATTGAAAAATAATAAAGCTCCAGGAATGGATCTCATCAAGGCAGAATTAGTGGAATTTGCAGGCCCAGAATATGCCAAGCACTTACGTCAGCTAATAGTTAAGATATGGATAACTGAAATAATCCCAGAGGAATGGAACCTAAGTACTGTATGCCCTATCCATAAGAAAGGCGATGTCATGGTATGCTATAATTATGTAGGAATTAGCCTGTTGTGCATAGCATATAAAATATTTTCCAACATTCTACTTAACACTCTCTCTCTCTTTGTGGAAATCATTGCGTTGCAGAGTGAAGTCACGCATCACTGTTTTATTATATTTCATAAGTTTGCAAGAGATTTTTATTTGGTTTCTTCCTTTCGAAATTAACACTTATATTCATTCTAAACAAATAACTTGTGACCACGAGCGACAACAATGTACTTTTTTTTACAGATTAGATTACTACATATTACTCCGTAGCTTTTGGTCCGCAAGTGAACTTTACCGACCTAGCGACCGCGCTTGTCGGCTAAGTTAGTTCCAACTTTAGCGGATAGAGAGTGTCCCATGGTCAGCGCAACGAATCCCCACGGCTGTTAATCTCGGTTTTCTAGACCGGAATGTATTTTTATTAATAAGGAATATTTTATCGTGAGAACTTCGGCCTGCCATATTAGTGCACTCATACGACGAGCAGGATTTCAGCGGTTGAAAGTTGTGTTTACTATACAGTATCTTAAATGTGATAAAAGAAACTTTCTTCCCAAAATGTACTCAAGCATGAATGCAATAGAAGACATCTGAACCCACAGCCCAAACGGCTCATCCTAAGATTGTGCGCCTCTTGAACTGTGCAGACTGCTTTCACCGGTTCTCACGGTCTCTTTGCTTGCAGATTCTTATATTTTTTTCTTCTACCCTGAAGATGGAGGCGATACGTTCCTCCGAAACGTCGGTTAACACCACATATACACGGTGCCAAATCCCAGAAGACTGCTTTCTTCATATTCTTATCTGGCTCTTCTTAATCCACAACTACATGTCATGAGATATCTCAGCCCCGGTTACAATGTGAAAACTGTTAAGATCAGTTCATTGCAATGCATAACACGTACACGTTTTCTAATCCTTCTGCAAGATGGCAGGCCACGGATAATGCCATGTAGTTCTCTAAGTACTCCAATAGATTGCACAAGAAGCTGCGGAATAGAAATGCAAAATGAAAACAGTCTCTGCGAACTTGTTTTGGCTTGGCTAGTTTTGCCGGCCGGTAACTTGAATTGTGTGTCACATGGACATATGTGTGTATTTATGTTTGTATATGCGGAGCATATAACATCGTCGAGCGCGACTCTGAGTGAGACAGACAGAGAGCTATTCTGAAACGCGGAAGTGTTGGCAGTACTCCAAGTGAGTCGAGAATGACGTCACAGCGGCAGGGTTAAGGTACTGTGGCAGTACGCGAAAGATAGAAGCAACGGTAACCGCCAGTACGTAACGGACACAGAAATAAGGAAAACAAACCGCTACAACGTTTGTAATTCATTTTCCCAGTTAGGGAGATTGCTTAAGTCGCCGGCAGATTGTGTTACTACCGAGTTAATTAAGTTTTCGCAAGTTATGTCATTAGACGTGAGTACTGCTGCAGGTACTAGACAACGTAACACGGCGTGGCTACGTAACACCTGGATGGGCAGGTTGCGTTACAGGAAAATATAATGAAGTGAAAGAAAAGGCTTGCTTGGTAAATGACGTGCCGGGAGCGATTTATGACAAGAACACTCCTTCGATATGAAGTCCCCGCAGCAGTGACTGTGTTGAGTATTATCTTCTGGAACTCAACGCCGTGTAGTCCGATATAAGTTCACTGACGTTTCGAAGCTGTGCCTACAGTTTGCTACCTGCTTGCTTGTTTACGTGTACTCTTCGACCCTGATGCTGGAAGCAGTACGTTCCTCCGAAAGTAGGTGAACTAACGGACTACAAGGAGTCACATCCCAGATGACAGCCTTCTATAGTCACCACTGTGAGAACCTCACATCCAGCCTAATTAGGTGAGGTCTGAGGATCTCATCGCGGTGAGTTCAGATTCTTGGATGTGATGCCATGTAGTCTGGTATATCCCTACCGAAGTTTCAAAGGAACATGCTGCCTCCAACTTCATTCTACTGCCGTATAGATTGAGGCAGTACGTTGCATCGAAACGTCGATAAAATGTGTTTCGGAGCACATGTCACTACATCCCAGAACATGTGAACTTGCTAAGCTACTCGTAACTGCCTGAATTTCAAAGAAAGGAGCCCTAGAGTAGCGAAGAGACTTCCTCTTTTATGGAACCCAGCATTCTTACTA